TTATTTCTTCTTTAATTTCTTCAATGATCCATTGGTTGTTCAGTAGCATGTTGTTTAGTCTCCACATATTTGTCACTTTCCCAGCTTTTTTCTTGCAGTTGATTTCTGGGTTCATAGCATTATGGTAGGAAAAGATGCTTGATATGATTTCAATCTTCTCAAATTTATTGAGGCTTTCCTTATTTCCCACATATGGTCCATCTTTGAGAATGTTCCACATGCACTTGAGAAGAATGTGTATTCTGCTGGTTTTGGATGCAGCGTTCTCTATATATCTATTAAGTCCATCTGGTCTAGTTTTTCATTTAATTCCACTATTTCCTTGTTGACTTTCTACCTGGATGGTCTATCCATTGATGTGAGTGGGGTGTTAAGGTCCCCTACTATTACTGTGTTGCTGTTAATATCTCCTTTTAGGTTTGTTAATATTGCTTTATGTACTTTGGTGCTCCTGTGTTGGGTGCATATATGTTTATAAGTGTTATGTCCTCTTGGTGGAGTGTCTCTTTTATCATTACATACTGCTCCTCTTTGTCTCTTATTGCCTTTTTTATCTTGAAGTCTACTTTGTCTAAGTATGACAACACTTACTTTCTTTTGTTTGTCATTAACTTGGAGTATCGTCTTCCATCCCTTCACTCTGAGCCTGTTTTTGTTTTCAGAGCTGAGACGTGTTTCCTGGAGGTGGCATAACATTGGGTCTTGTTTTTTAATCCATCCAGCCACTCTGTGTATTTTGATTGAAGAATTCAATCCCTTTACCTTTCAAGTGATTATTGATATATGAGTGCTTCATGCTACCATTTTATCACTTGTTTTTTGGTTTTTCTTAGTCTTCATTCTTATTTCCTTGTTTCTCATCCCATGTATTTCCAACTACCAGTTCAATTTGGAAGTTTTCCCTGATGGTTTTCTCAGTTTTCTCTTTTTTATCATTTGTGTCTCTGTTCTGATTGTTTACTGGTTGCTGTGAGGTTTGTATAAAGATGAGATAGTTCCTTTTCTGATAGCCTCTTATTTCCTTAGTCTAAGCAGGTTCCATCCCTTTCCCTTCCCCATCTATGGTATTGTCACACCTTATTCCATTTTGTGTTGTGAATTGTGTTTAAAATTAAGTGATTATAATTATTTTTGATGCCTTCCTTTCCTTTATCTTTAATGTTATAATTGTTTGGTAACCTGTTCTGATAGAGAGCTGCAGTTTGTAAGTTTGTCTGTCTACGTAATCTCCATCTATTTTTTTTTTTTGAGGAAGGTCAGCCCTGAGCTAACATCCACTGCCAATCCTCCTCTCTTTGCTGAGAAAGATTGGCCCTGAGCTAACATGCATGCCCAGCTTCCTCTATTTTAAATGTGGGATGCCTGCCACAGCATGGCTTGATAAGTAGTGCGTAGGTCTGTGCTGGGGATCCAAACCGCGAACCCTGGGCTGCCGAAGTGGAGTGCATGAACTTGTCCGCTATGCCACCAGGCTGGCCTCTCCATCTTTCTTTTTGAGTTAGATTTGCGTTTAAATATGTTCAGCATCACTGGTTTTCCTGAAATTTTCTCTATTGTCTCTTTTGTGGCTGAAATATGTCCTCTAGTAGTTCAGAAATAACTCATGTGAATAATGTCCCTAAGTTCTTGCATCATAAAACTCTGTATATCCTTTATACTTGAAGAACAGACAGCTTGGCTACATATAAAATCTTTGATTCCCTCATTTATTTTTCCACATGTATGTTGGAGGGGCTACCTCATCATTTGGGGCACTGAATTTAGCAGTGAAGAAGTCTAGTGACAACTGAATTTCCTTTTTCTTATAGGTGGCTTGATATTTTTATCTTGATTCTTTATGGTTTTTTTGTGGTTTTTTTGAGGAAGATTAGCTGAGCTAACATCTGCAGCCAGTCCTCCTCTTTTTGCTGAGGAAGGCTGGCCCTGAGCTAACATCCATGCCCATCTTCCTCTACTTTATGTGTGGGACGCTTACCACAGTACGGCTTGTCATGCAATGCCGTGTCTGCACCCGGGATCCAAACCCCCAGGCCACCGAAGCGGAACATGCGCACTTAACCACTGCACCCCCAGGCTGGCTCCCCTTCATGGGTTTTGTTCTAATAATATTATTAGGAAATGTTTTGGTACTGATAATTTTGAGTCATTTCCACCTGCAATATGTGTGTCTTTTCATTATGTATATTCATACTTTATTTCAGGAGACAACCCAGATGTCCATTACTGGATGAATGGGAAAAGAAAATGTGTCTGTGCATACACTGAAGTATTATTCAGCCATAGAAAGGAATGAAATACCAACACATGCTTCAACTTGAATGAACCTTGAAAACATTATGCTAAATCAAAGAAACCAGTCACAATAAGTCCACATGGTATATGATTCCATTCATAGGAATATCCAGAACAGGGAAATCTATTGAGACAGGAAGTAGATGAGTGGTTTCTTAGGACTGGGGAAAATGGGCAGAGAGGCCGTGGTGGGGTTTGAGAACACAGGGAGCGATAGCTAAAAGACTCAGGATTTCTTTTTGAGATGATGAAAATATTCTAAAATTGATTTGTGATGGTTGCACATATGTGAATTTGCTAAAAAAAAAAACCCCATTGCATTGTTCACTTTAAATGGGTTAATTGTATAGTATGTGAATGATATCTCAGTAAAGCTGTTTTTGTTTTAGAAAAAAAAAAAAAAAGAAGAATACAGCCTATGTGTTTTGCCATCTTGAATCCCCCTGACATCTCCCTGCCTCCTTTTACTCCCTCCCCCATCAATTGCCTCCTTTGCGTTCCTGCTCGCAGAAACTCCCATTCAGGCTGTGATACTCCTCATGGGAATGAACATTTCTCATTTTTCTTTGCAGGGTCTCTATAGCTACCAACATAGTTTCTGTTCTTTCATTTGAGTTTGGCCACATTTCCAAATAATTTCGAGTGTGTCATTTTCTCTGTTTCCTAGTGGTTAGGACTTAATTTTATTTTTCTTGTTTCTATGTACATGGTTTCCAAGAGAAGAAATGTCAGGTTTAGAACCAGTTCTTCCCTAAAACTATATAATAGTCACTCTCAAGTCCTTTTTAATTCCCAAGACAGAGTATATTTCAGTCCACAGTTTGTTCTCCAGCTGTTCACTCATCTTCGAAAGCACTTCAAGTCCTGTTACGTGACTGAAGTTCTCTGTCTCCTGGGCCAAATTTGTACTACACGCTTTACGTGAAATTTTCATGAACCTCCCCCCATTGAGTATATCAATCTTTCCTCTACCTTCCCACACCAACTTTGTTGTATCTCTAATGAGAAGCATTTTTCAACCTTTAAAAATGCAGATTACTTCTGAGATGAGGCCCAAACTCCATAGCCTAGTTTTTGGGGATTTTCATGATGTGATCCCTACTATGTACACCTTCGTCTGCCGTTGGTCTCTCCTCCCACTCTGTATTCCTTGAATGAACAAAGATATCTGTGCTTGATTTTGACATGTTTCCTCTGCCTGAAAACCCCTCTGCTTTGCCCGTCTTCTCTGGTGAGCCCCTCAAGACTCAGCTGAAGCGCGTCTCCCAGAGGAGGCCTTCCCTTACCGGCTGGCTAGTTTGGCTTGAGCTCCTTTGAGCTGCTGGACTCTTCTACATCCGTGATAACCTTTATCTCCTACTGTATTGTAATGGCTTCTTTACTTTTCTGACTGAGTTCCTTGAGGGCAGATCCTGCAACATATTTATCTGCATCCCCAGTGCCGAGCACAAAGCCAGATTCCAGAGGCTTCAGTATGTTTTTTAATAAAAAACAGTTTGCTTTGTAAAACTGTTTACTCACCCGATCTCAACCTTCCTTCCGTCTTTGAATTCCTTTCATGGCAAAGCCACTGTGCTGCTCATTGTTGATAAAATACAGGAGACAAAGCATAGTCCACCAGGCCCAATTCATCTTCACTCAATATGAGGAATCCTGGAATCCAGAAGTGAGATCCAGTGTTGAAAATCAACAAGCTTTGGGTTCAGCAAACCTGTACTACTTCCTAATAGTAAATTTGAGCCAGGGACCAGTTCCCTAATCTTTTGAATGTGGATGATAACTGACTTTCACAGATGGCTTAAAGATGAAGGTTAATGTAGATATGAGTTGATCATTGATGAATCTGAGGGAAGAGAAAATGGAGATTTATAATGCTACTCTTATCTGCTTTTATATGTTTAATATTTTCCATATTTCTAATTTTTTAAAAATTATACATACACACACATAAAATTCCGAGAACATACTACTACTCAGTCGGTATTTTTTGTTGTTACCCTAGAGTGGGAATAAATTATCAGAACCATATTCACCCTTTCCTCCAAGGCTTTACACCGAAAAAGGAGGCTTGTAAGGATGATGCAAGAAAACAGAAAGAAACCAGAGAGGGCTGGGCCTGGAGGTTAATGGGAATTGACAGTGCAGCTGGGCCAAATACTGTGCGCACAGGTGTGTTTATGCTCCGGAAAAGACTGCTAGGCTGTGTGAACAGTCATCTCACTGGATGACTAGTGAATCTGGTCAGGGTTATTTTGGCCTCACAATTGCCTTTAGTTTTGCGGTGTGGATGTTTTGGACGAAAATGTGTCAGTAGTTTTTATATACTTTGTTGGACATAGAGGAGGTGAAAAGCCACTGTCAGGAGAAGTACGCAGGACGGCCCTGGGCAAATGCACTGGACTCCCGGATTGCAGAGTTCCTTTGTTCTTGGGGTTCCCTTGGGGATGTCTAACTTGGGGTCCATATTGTTGAAGGGGATATTCAGGGCAAGTCAGAATGGCCTTGTCTCATATCCTGACTATCCTGAGCCGTGTCATGATTTGGCATACCTGGGTAGACATCCTGCAGTATTTGAGGCTTTTGGGTTTTGGATGGGGCCAGGACGTTTGCAGACTCCCTCTGACCTTCCTTCAAGGAAGAAAATGGCATTCTTAGTCCGTGTGAAAGCTCTGAGGAAAGCCTGACCTCTCCTGATTTCTTCCCTCTAGCTCTGCTTTCTCAGGGCTCTGCTTCACCAGGAGAGGAATCCAGAAGACTGATCGACTCTTGGAATTTTAAGTCATGGCCCACGTGAGTTGGAATTGCCTCTCCAAAAATATAACCATTTATATCACGTCATGTGAATATTTTTACTCCTCATCCTTAAACGGCTTACCGGAGTCACTGTCAGTGTGTTAAGTGATAGTTGTGAAACTGTGCAGTGCCTTCCCTACGTGTCCCGCTTCTTTCCAACATGGCATTGAGTACCCCCTGTGTCCTGATACTTTGACAGAGCGCTCAATGAGGAGAAATACATTCTCTTAAAGGAGATAGTAGAGACTTTCTTTTCAAAACTGTTGCTTAACAAGTTGGAACTGAGTGGCTAAAATGGACACACTGCGTGGGAGAGTTTTTGTCTACTCTAGAGAATGGGATGTTTCAATTAGGAAAGATGGGAGTTGGTGTTGGTTGGTATTTATTTTAGTATGTAGCACTTTGTCGTGCTTTTAGATTGAGGATATGACAGGAGGTTGAGTTCAGAGAGGTCTGAGATCTTGCTGGGAAATCAGTGAGAGATTAATATCATTAACAAGACATGTACTGATTGTCAGCTACTTAGCTGAGAGCCTAGAGATTTTATACATTAGCCACAGAAAATTCAACTAACAGTAGCTTAAGGAAAAAAAAAATTCTTCTCACATAATAAATCTAGAGTTAGTCATTTCCGGGCTGGTGTAGCCTCTCAGTGGTGTCGACAAAGAACTCACACGATGGCTGTCAGTCTTGGCCGCCATCCTGTGTTCTTGTTACTTGTTACTGGAAAGTCCTAAGGATGTTGTGACTGAGCAATAGATGGTAAGAGCGTATAGGCACTTGGCTTCAGTCACACTAATTTCCATGTCATTTCCCCCCATAGCAGACAGCCAACTCCAGCTTTCGCTCAGTGTGGATACCACTCAAGCAGTGCCCTTTTCTGCCTTTCCCCTTCCATCTAAAGGCTGTCTCTTAATTTCACCACTGATGCCTGGGTTTGCCGTTTCAGCAGTTGGTGGCGCTCAGGGATGTGGCTGTAGACTTCTCTCAGGAGGAGTGGGAGTGCCTGGACTCGGAACAGAAGGATTTGTACAGAGATGTGATGTTGGAAAACTACAGCAACCTGGTCTCACTCGGTAGGATTCAGAATTTGACCCCAGAAATTCCTGCTTTCTGTGTTGTGAATTTTTGGATTATCCTTCACCTGTCTAGGGGAATTTCTGTCCTCTTTCTGGGAAAATGGTTTGTGCTTTGTAAATTTGGCAGGAGTCATCATCATCACAAACCTCCACCTTCTCCATCCTTTAGAAATCCTTTATGCCTTTTTCTTGCCTTCCTGTAATTGTCTCTCTTCCTTAATAACCAACGGACTGGATGCACATTTGGAACCCTTACCACATGGTCATTTCCTGTTTCTTGTCTTCTGATCAGGACTTTGCATCTATCAGCCAGATGTGTTCTCTTTACTGAAGAAGGGGAAAGAGCCCTGGATGGTTTCGAAGGATAAAACAACAGGATCTTGCTCAGGTGAGTGAGGGCTCAGCAGGCACACGGAGGCCATCATTGCAGATAACAGCCCAGCTGTTTAGTGAGGCAGCAACATCTCTGAAATATTCATCTAGAATCTCTACCTCAAAGGCCTAAAGCCTGTGGATAAAGCCCTGAAACCTAGAGACAAAGTAACCTTTTCAGGAGCCAGCCCAGTGACGCAGCGGTTAAGTGCGCATGTCCCGCTTTGGCAGCCCAGGGGTTCGCCAGTTCGGATTCCGGGTGTGGACATGGTACCACTTGGCAAGCCATGCTGTGGTAGGCATCCCACGTATAAAGTAGAGGAAGATGGGCACGAATGTTAGCTCAGGACCAGTCTTCCTCAGCAAAAAGAGGAGGATTGGCAGCGGATGTTAGCTTAGGGTGAATCTTTCTCAAAAAAAAAAAAGTAACCTTTTCAACATGAATTTCCAAATGAACCTTCAAATACCACTGCCTTTCAGTGTTCTCATTTTTCCTTCATGTTATGAAAAGGTAAGTGTCATTCTTTTTCTCCAGTGGTCACTTTATCTGTGGTTTGGGTCAAGTTTCTTCTCATCTCTCTGGGGTTTTTTCATTTAGATATTTGTAAAGTTCTTCACTCCCTAAAAAAAAATTTTTTTTAGGAAGATTAGCCCTGAGCTAACATCCGCTACCAATCCTCTTTTTGCTGAGGAAGATTGCCCTTGGGCTAACATCCGTGCCCATCCTCCTCTATTTTATATGTGGGACACCTGCCACAGTGTGGCTTGATACACAGCACATAGGTCTGCACCCAGGATCCAAACTGGCAAACCCCAGGCTGCGGAGAGGCGGAAAATGCGAACTTAACCACTGCGCCACCGGGCCAGCCCTAAAAAAACATTTTTGAACCTGTTTTTCATTTGACCTACTATCTCTTGAGCTTTTCTTATTTTGCCTAGTTGCTCCTTGCTTCTGCATTTCCTGCACTCATTAATTTAATCTTCTAAAGTTTATTGATTTTCTAATTTCATTTTAGTTTAAGAGTGGTTAACGGAGAGTATATAATTTATCAAGAAACTTTGTCTTCTTCTCTGTGACTAGAACATGTCCATAAATCTCTGCAAAATAGGCTCTACATTAAGAGAAGTCTTAATAGGCTGTTTAGTTGAAAATCAAGATAATAACTGAAAATAGTTTCTCGCTACAGTGAAGAGGAAATGACAGAAGAGAGGTTAGAGTTAATGGAGGGCAACGAGGCGAGTGCAGTGTCATAAAAGGCAAGTCCTGGCTGTCAAGAGGAAGCAAGGATGGTAATTGATGAATTTCCTATTTTGAGCAGGATCAGATTGCAATAACGTACTCTTGGAGCTTCCTTCTTCTTTGAAATATCAAGGGAAGAGAATAAATGTTATTTCTCTACTGGAATCATGTTTTTGAATTTCAGAAACTGTGTTTATATTAAAAAATTTTTTTTCTGAACTATTGATACATGCAACAACTTTAATAAATCTGAAGGATAGTATGCTGAATGAAAAATCCCAATCTCAAAAGGTCACATACTATAGGAATCCATTTCTACAACTTTCCGGAAATCACAGAATTAAAGATATTGGAAACATATTAGTGGTTGCCAGGGTTAGGGGTGGGCAGCGGGGAGCAGTGGTGGTGGGTATGACTATAAAGGGGTAGCATCTTTGTGACGGTGGACTGTTTTTGTATGTTGATTGTGGTAATGGTTACAGGAATCCACGTATATGATGAAATGACCTATAACTGTACACGTGCATTGTGTCAATGTCAAGTTCATGGTTTTGATATTGTACTACAACTATGTAAGATGTATTCACTGGGCAAAACTGGGTAAAGGGTCCATAGGACTCTGGACTATATCTGTACAACTTCTTGGGAATCTATAATTATTTCAGAATAAAGCTTTTAAAACTTACTCTCTCTCACACAGTATACACAATTTTATGTCATATTTTTATTTCCTAAACACTCCCATGTACCTTTTTTTTTTTTGGTCTATTTTCATGTATTACTGTTGTATATTAAGGTTGTTCTGCATTTCTTGTCGCTGGAGTTGCCACTCTTGGTACATGTCAGTTATTCATGGGGTTTTTTTTAATGTTGGATGATTATTGTGTCTCAAATATGAGATTCCCTGGCCAAAGGGTGTAAAGCTAGAAGACCATGTGCCCAACTAATTAAGATTAATTGATTAGTCATTCAAAAAGTTATTTTAAATCATACAAAATTATATGAATATCTTAAACAACCTGTAAGTGTTTATTTACAGCTCATAACTGTTTCACCCATATTTCAATATAGGGCCAGGGCGTGTTCTCCCTGATTGGAGTTCTGCCTGTTCTTTCTTGTGTTAACCATGCCAGTACTTCATTCTCCTAATTTCCTGGTTCTCTTTTGTTAAGGGCAATGAGAATTTAAGCAGTCTTACTGTAGAATCTCTATTTTTTTACAATCTTTATGTTTGACTCTACTAAAATAAAATTTGTAGCCTTCTTGAATGAGTTTTTCTAGAACATTCAACTTTCATAAAAACAACCAACCTTTCTCTCATATTTCTTTACTTAATGTTGTTAAAATATGTAATTAAAGTATCAAGAACAAATGGTATAAACAAGTTTGGAAACACAGCTGATTCATGGTAAGCACGTGGGCATCCTAGAGGCAGCTCCTACTTGAGTGCATTTCTGTATCGTGGGCACTAATAGTTACATTTTCTGATGGGTTGGAGGGCATTGGTTCATGAGAGGTCAGAGACAATATCACTTTCAATGTAGCCTCACTGCAAATGGGTTATTTTTAATTAAACCCTTCTAATAACTTAAGAGGATAAGGCTATTGATTTCTAGTGAGGACAGATATTTCCCCTGAGTTTGTTTACTGATTTACTGCTTGTGTTTATTTGATAAATGTCTGCTCTGTGCTTGATCTATCCTTATCACTTGTTGACTTAATACTTGTATTTTTAGTGTGAATGGGCATTCAGATAAAGAAAACACAAATACGCTAAAGCTGAATTAGAGTGTTCAATAAAGTTAGATAGTTAGATCAAGGATATTTCTCTTTATTTTCTTTAGGACTTTAGTTTTCTTTTATTTTGGTGCTGCAATTTTTACTTTACAACTTAAAATGTAGTTGAAGAACAATAAACTGCATATATTTGAAATATTCAATTTTATCTATTTTACATATGTATACATCTATGAAATAATCCCTCTAATCAGGACAATAAACACTTTAGTCATTGCCACATTTCCTCGTGCCCCTTTGCTATCCATCCCTCCTTCCACCCCCATCTCTAAGTAATCACTAAACTGCTTTCTGTAACTCTAGTTCATGTGTTCTAAAATTTTATATAAATTGAATTAGACAATCTATACTCTTATTTTGGCCTTGTTTCTTTTGCTGGCATGATTTGGAGATTCATGTATGTCGTTGTGTGTGTCAATAGTTTATTTCTCTGTAGTATTCCATTTATGTAGTATTCCATTTATGACCATACTATAATTTATTTATTCATTCATCTGTTTATAGACTTTGTTTTGAAATTTCTCAGCTATTATCTTTTCAAATATTGCTGCTTCTCCCATCCTTCCTCTTTCCTCCCTTTAAGCCTCCACTTACATTGATGTTTAGCCTTCTAACTGAATCTTCTATGTCATAATGCTTCTCTTGTAACTTTTGCAACCTCTTTCTTTTGGAATTTTTCTTTTAGACATATATTGGTTTCTTGTTCTTTGCTGAAATGATCAGTTTTGTTTTTTAGCTTCTTGAGCATAGTTATTTTTAAGCTCTGTCTCATAACTCTAACATCTAGAGTCCTTATAGATGTATTTCTACTATCTGTTGTTTCCATAGTTTTTGTGTTCATTTTGTCTGGTTATTTCATTCATTTTGTGCCAGACACTGTTTGCAAAATAGTAAAACTAATACCTAGGATATCTTCCTTTATGGTGGATTTCTGTTCGCTTCTACCAGGTGCCTGAAGGTATTAGCCTTTTGGTTGATGTCTCAATCCATCTCTCTCCTCATTCACTGAGATGGTTTGAAACTGAGCTGTAGTTCCTGTCTAGTCTACCTCTGTTTTGTCTGTGTTCCTAGGTTGTGGTTTTTCACTTATAACTCAATATGAGGAATGTTTAGGACTCCGCATGTAGACAGAACCGGGATACCAATCTCTTATCACCTTAGCCCTGAGAAGATGACATAAGTCCTCTCAGTCTCTAAGCCAAATGCTAGTACCAGTACAGTTTGAATAGTAGAAACTGGCAAAGCCCTTCAGTATATTCAAATAGTAGCAGTCATAGTATTTTCTTATTTTGTTCTTCTAAAATATTTTACTAATAAGTTTGGTATCCCATGGAGATTTGGTAAAGATGTTTAAGTTTTCTTCAATAAGTTTCGAAGATTTTTTTTTTTTTTTTTTTGCCATTTATGTCTTTAATTTACTGGTCATTTAGGTTTGTATATGGTATAAAGAAGAGATGTAATTTTTCCCCATATAGCTATAATGAAACAGCACTTGTGAAATAATGTGTCTTTTTCCTTCTGTCGCAATCTAAGTTTCCATAAAAACTCTCTTCTGGGGCCGGCCCGGTGGTGCAGCGGTTAAGTTCGCACGTCCCGCTTCGGCGGCCTGGGATTTGCCGGTTTGCATCCCGGGTGCAGACATGGCACCGCTTGGCACGCCATGCTGTGGTAGGCGTCCCACATATAAAGTAGAGGAAGATGTGTACGGATGTTAGCTCGGGGCCAGTCTTCCTCAGCAAAAAGAGGAGGATTGGCGGCAGATGTTAGCTCAGGGCTGATCTTCCTTGAAAAAAAAAAAAAACCTCTCTTCTGTTTCTGGGTCCTTGATTGTCTTCCACAGGGTTATACCTAGATATTTGCATTTGACCAGAGATATTTGGAAATTCTGGGCAGAGCTGAGGACCCACTTGTGGGTTTTTTTTAAAAATAAATTTAAAATTAGTCAGCACCACTTCATTTTTTCCAGGTTTGTTCACCTGTCTAGTTCAGGCCCAGGATAAGCAGCAAGTGGGGTTTCACCAAGATGGGGTGTAACAAGAGTCATAGTTAAGGACCTGGAATCTAAACAGTGAGAAAAATAAGAAGGTTACAGAGAGTGAAAATGTGTCATTATTTCTAGCTTTCATGTTTGTCGTGTGTGTTGGAGGCCCGTAGCTGGTGTATTAAATTAAGAACATGCAGATTATGACCTGCTAAATGAGGAGGCACAAGCCACTCACACAAGTTGGGCTAGTAGTTCCCTCAGCATCTGAGCTCCCACTTTGGGGAAGTGAAAACCCTGGGGCCCTTTTGATTGAAGGCACAGTTTTAACATGCTCACACAAAGGAAGTAAAGTCGCAAGATTTATTAGTTAAAGATTCCAGAACTGGTGGGGTAGGGGACATGCAGTGAGCCTGGGGAAGGGCAGTCCTCCATCCCAGGTCACAAGCAAGCAGGAGATGGAGAGCAGGGTAGCAAGAACCTATTACTTATAAAGTGGTTGGGGCAGAGGTCACTCACTTTTTGTGGACTCAACTCTAAGTGGTGGTTTTGTAAGGTGCCCCGGGAAAAGCAAAGTGGGACCTTCTAGTGGGCATCCTGAGCTCAGGTCCTTATATAAAGGTCCAGACTCCGGGTGTGAGCCAGGTCTTCATACCGGAAAAGGTGCAGGCAGCAACTCAAAATAGCTGTTTTCTCATCACATGCTGTCGTCTGGGGAATTTATTTTAATGTCTTTGATTTATATTCCTCCAGTATTTTTTCCATTTATCCTAAACTACTTGTCTGCAATATTTAGCACAATAATAATTACTACTTTCTGAGTAGTAGGTTATGTGCGAGATACCGTTAAACCAGTTCCAATGTCCAGTTCCCCACATTCCCCAATTTTTCTTCTCTAATCATCATCTTCATCATTGTCTGCTAGTTGTTCAGCGATTCTGTCAGTCATTTTATAGAAATAGTATATTATCCTAGTCCTCTCAATAAACCTCTTGAAAGAGATATTATTATCCCTATTTATCATATGGAAAAATAAGAGCTCAGTCAAGCTCAGGAATTTTCTCATGACCTAAAGATGATTTTAGTAAACAGAACTGAGCCCTGAACCTGTGGTCTGTCATCTTTCCAATATGTCCACTACTGCTTATATGTTGTACTTGAACTACCTTCCGAATCATTCAGTACTTGTGTGGTTCCCACCTCTGTCCTCCCAAGAAAAATGTACAGCACAACCATATGACAGTTTCATTGAATTATAAAGCACATAGCAAAAGTGAGTCACAGAGGAGTCCTGCTTATTCCAGCTCATGCCAGATTCTTCTCCCTTGGCAGATTTCTCAAACTATTTTCCTATTTGAACTGTCACCCATAATTAGGCAGTGAGATGTGTTACATTGTCATCACTTGATTAAATGATCCTATGTGTGCTTCTTGGTCCCTGGTTTTTGTAATATTATCCTTTATCCCATCCTAAATTCTCCCCTGTTCATTTTTTTGGTCTTGTAGTATATTTTTTACATAATTTTTTTTTAACGCCTAACATGTGATAAGCTTGACTATATCATACTGAAGGAAACAGTCTTAAGTCTTTAAATTGGTATTCCATGAATGGGGTGGTACCTAAACAATCGTTTTTTTCAATTGAACTCTTCAGATGAATTTGACCAAAACAAAACTTTATATATCTAACCACCTGCTTCAACTTTTATTCCTTTTAATTTCTATTTATTTCTTGCCCACTTTTCATATTGCCCAGAACTTGAGAATTTTTTAAGCTATTCACTTCTTGGGTGCTTTATTTATTTCTTATATCTACATTGGCAGTTTTATGGCTTTTTGGACAGTAAAACAGTATGAACTTATCTTCTTATCTTTCAGATGTGCAGTCCAGGTATCAGACCGAGAAGTTATCACAAAAAAATGGCGTTTTTGAGAGAGAATTATCTTCATGGGAAATAACGGAAATGTGTAAAAACCACAGCCTCGAATGTTTATGTTTTAGAGGTGATTTGGAAAGCAAAGGTCAGTTTGAAACACAGCAGGAAAATCAAGAAGAATGTTTTAAGCAGGTTATATTCACCTATGAAAAAATGTCCACTTTTAACCAGGACACAGCTTTTAATCTACAACAGAGACCTAATACAGAAAAGAAACTGAATGAAGTTAAAGGGTGTGAGAAAGCCTGTTGTTCTGGCTCAGATTGTACTCAACACCAGTTAATTCACACTGGTGAGAAATTTTGTGAAGATAAGGAGTGTGAGAAAACCTTTCTTCCTGACTCAGAACTCACTCCATGTCAGACAATTCACACTGCTAAGAAAGTATATGAATGTAAAGAATGTGGGAAGGCTTTTAGTTTGCGTTCAAGTCTTACTGGTCATAGGAGAATTCATACTGGTGAAAAACCTTTTAAATGTAAGGAATGTGGAAAGGCCTTTAGATTTCATTCACAACTTAGTGTCCATAAGCGTATTCATACTGGTGAAAAATCTTATGAATGTAAGGAATGTGGGAAGGCCTTTAGTTGTGGCTCAGACCTTACTCGACATCAGAGAATTCATACTGGTGAAAAGCCCTATGAATGTAAGGAATGTAAGAAGGCCTTTAGTCAGCGATCACATCTTACTAAACATCAGAGAATTCACACTGGTGAAAAACCTTATGAATGTAAGGAGTGTGGGAAAGCTTTTACTCGTGGCTCACACCTAACTCAACATCAGAGAATTCATACTGGTGAGAAATCTCATGAATGTAAGGAATGTGGAAAAGCCTTTATTCGTGGTTCAAATCTTGCTCAACATCAGAATGTTCATGTTGGTAGGAAACCCTATGAATGTGAGAAATGTGGGAAAGCCTATATCTGGAGTTCACACCTTGCTCGACATCAGCGAATTCATACTGGTAGGAAACCTTATGAATGTAAGCAATGTGGGAAGACTTTTATTTGGGCTTCATATCTTGCTCAACATGAGAAAATTCATAATGAGAGGAAACTCTATGAATGTATGGAATGTGGGAAAACCTTTCTCCATGGCTCAGAGTTTAATCGACATCAGAAAATTCATACTGGTGAGAGAAACTATGAATGTAAGGAATGTGGAAAGACCTTTTTTCGTGGTTCAGAACTTAATCGGCATCAGAAAATCCATACGGGAAAGAGACCATATGAATGTGAAGAATGTGGAAAAGCCTTTCTCTGGGGTTCACAACTTACTCGTCATCAGAGAATACATACTGGTGAGGAACCTTATGTATGTAAAGAATGTGGAAAATCTTTTATCTGGGGTTCACAGCTTACACGACATAGGAAAATTCATACTGATGCAGAACCCTATGAATGTAAGGAAAGTGGCCAGATCTTTAGTCACTATTCATATTTTACTGAAGAGAAAATTCACAATGGTGAGAATCTCTATCAATGGAAAGACTATGGGAACACCTTTAGTCATGACTCAGACTTTGCCCGACACCAGAATATTTACACTTTCAAGAAATCCTATGAATATAATGAGTTTGAGACAGCATTTTCTCCCAGCCCTAACTTTATTTCACTCTTGTGAAATCTTATGGTACAAAAATGTAGGAAAGGCTTTGTTCATGACTCCTTAATTGATGTCAGTTAATTCCTTCTTTTGAAAAACCCCAGAAGTGTAGGTAATATTAGGAAACCCTTTGACATAGCACACAACACACTGAACAGCAGAGAATTCATAATGCAATCTATGTTAATACAGGAAGATATTTATGGATTGGTTGTCAGTTATATATGGAATATAAGGGTAAAACCCTACAAATGAGATGATAGTGTGAATTCCTTTTGAATCTTTCTCAAAACATTTTGACATCATTGATATTATGCTGCATAGAATTTAAATCTAACTCAAATGGGAAATCTTCCATCACTACTTAAACCTTGTTGCAACCATAAAATCACACCAAAGGTGAATTTGTGTTATGTAAATTAATCTGCAAAAGACTTCAGTTTTGTCATACAACTTATTTAGTGTGTCTTAGTTTCAACACATCTTATCTCTGTATTTTTTGAAAGGTAACTTAAATCTGTATGTGTTTGCTTACTAGTTAGATTATAAGGGTTAAATGAGTTTGAGGATTCAGATGACTTTATGACTGTCATTCATATTAGTATTAGACCATATCTATGAGAGGAAGACCTTAAGAGTATAATGATTATAAACAAATAGGCCATTTGTATGTGTGACTTATTGAACAGCAGAATGTTAATTCTGAAGAAAACACAGTAAAATAGAATTAAGGGAAGGAAACTGTGAATCAGTATCGATTTCATTGGCTGCATCAAAAAATTTATACTGTAGGGGCTGGCCCCGTGGTGTAGTGGTTAAGTTCGCATGCTCCACTTCGGCAGCCTGGGGTTCGCCAGTTCACATCCCAGGTGCGGACATGGCACCACTCATCAAGCCATGCTGTGGCAGACGTCTCACATATAAAATAGAGGAAGGTGGACACAGATGTTAGCTCAGGGCCAACCTTCCTCAGAAAAAAGAGGACGATTGGCGACGGATGTTAGCTCAGGGCTAATCGTCCTCAAAAAAAAAAAAAAAAAAGAACTTTATATTGTAAAAGAAAGCCTTATGGTTTTAGTAAAATTAGGGTTGAGTGTTCAGCATTTTTTTTAAGAAAGGCATTTGGAAGTGATTTGTCTCTAACAGATTTCCAAAGCCAAATGTCATATCCATTTTATCAACACAATTAAAATTTAGCAATCAGAAAATAGCAAAATGAATTCTAACTTCTTGGAAATTTACCACTACATATATAAACAATTCTCAGATTAATGGGCAAATGAAAAATGAAATTACAGGCTATTTAGATGTGAATGATAATGAGACTCCTGTATATCAAATCCTGTGAATGTGACCATCGCACTTCTCAATGGAAATTGCTCTGTATAAAACCAAGCAGATAGAGGGCCATTTATTTCTTGTCACCACTGTATCTCCAACACTTAGGACAGTGCCTGTCATATTGTGGGTTCCAAATATTTGTCAGATTAAATAATGATTTCTCAAACAAGCTAGAATAAGAGCAAGTTGATGCAAAGACTTAATTAAAATAAAGCAAAAATCATGGAATAAAGAACAATACAGAAAGGCTTTTTTTTTTAAATTGAGGTAACTGGTTTGTTTGAAGGTTTTTTATTTTACATCAAAATGTTTCTTTGAAGAAAACTGTTATTTACTAGACTTTGGCAATGCCTCCACATTATGATAAGAAAGGAGAAATATGATATACCTATATCTCTAGAGGATTTTTTAATGGTCATGTAAATATATGTAAACTTTATTAGACATAATTTTTAAATATAGAGAGTATGGTTTATTTTCTGGGAAAGTATTATTTTAAATGATTAAATTTGGAGAATCATTAAAAAGGGCCGAAAAATTTTAACAGTTGGAAAAAAATATTTAAAAATCATGTAGGACCAGATAATTGTACAGACTACCCCATGAAGGAGCAGAAAATCCTATGGAAAAATTGCCGGCTCGCGCTAAAAGACTAATTCTGATAACAAAGTCAGATATGGAGTAGCCCTGGAACAACAAATTCCAGAATAATTTCACTCATGAGTGAGCATGAAAAAAACTAATACAATGGTCAAATGACATTTACCCAGAATGTTTAAGCTCTGATCTAGTTGGGTGGTAATTCTGTAGTTTAGACATAACAGCAAGATTTCAATGATGAAAATGTACCTTATCAGTTCTGTATTTAATCAGTTTATTCTACGTGCATTTTCTTAGTACCTTTTAGTATTATATGAATTAAGGAATGGTGAGTATATGTACATATACCCAGCACATTTACAAGCCAGTTTTTTAACGGTAGTTAAACAGTATTAGGAAACAGTAGTTCCCTCCCAAATTACTGTCTTCTATGGAATTTCACAACTCTTGTCGGGAAAATGAATTTTTTTTGTTACATCTCTTTATTATAATAAATAAACCATTTTACTTCATGCTGATTAGATTTTATTTAAGGTGACAAGTACACTAAGAAAAATAACATTTAGAGTTTCCGGACATCCGTATACAGACAAGTATGGGACATTCCCTTTTCCTTGGCCCAGACGCCTTGTTGAGTTTAGTGTTAGTAGGCATATCTGCTGTTCCTGTCTCCTTCATGGTGAATTTCTGGATCTCCTTGAACGCCTGAGGTGCATGCTTCTTGAACTCTTACTCCATTGATACATTTGTCGTTGTTGATAATGTCTTCTCTGGTCTACAATGTAGATGACAGAATGGCCGTTAGTTTTTCCGTAACCACCTTTCTTTGCAGAAGCCATTCTGCTAGAACTATTTTGGGAAAGAACTTTTTAATAATTAGTGTTAGTACAGCTGGATAAAATTTAGGGGGCAAAATTAGATTCACTCCTGGCAGTGTAAAGCAGGATAAATTCTCAACAAATGAAGAGATGTAAATATTTAAAAAGAGAGAGAGAAAAAACTTTACAGGTACTACAAGAAAACATGGGTGAATTCCTTTATAACCTTAGAATAGAGACATCAATAACTATGACTGAAAAATCCAGTAGAAATAAGGAGAAAGAAATAAGTTGTTTTAGGACTAAAGCAGTATTAACATAGATAAAGGAAAATGACAAAATTAGAGATATTTACAACTATATCACAGACTAATATCCTTAAAGAGTCTAAAAATTGAAATGAGAATGCAAGTTACCCTACACTCAGATACCACTTCATACCAATGAGATGGGCAAAAATCTAAAACTGTATTAAAATACTCTATTGGCAAGACTGGACAAATAGAGACTCTCACATTGCTGATGAAAATACAAAATAGTACGACTCATATAGGAGGGAATTAAGTAGTGTCCCTGTGTAATTTTGTATGCGTATACCATAAGACCCAGCACCCTTGCTTCTATCCCGAAGATGCACTGGTAAAATTACAAAATATGATATGCACAAAGGAGTTTTTTAAGACACGACTTGTAAATGCAGCAGACTGAAAACAACCCAGATATACAGCAATAGACCGGCTGAGTTAACTATCATCTGTATGTACTGTTGAGTATTGTGCAGCTGTATACTTCTATGGAGCAACCTTCAGAGTATGTGAAATGAAAAATAGGTAAGTGCATAATAATATGTATATTATGCTAATATTTGTAAAAGAAAGGGAAGAATACTATATATGCCTGTACTTTCAAAAAGAAAGATCAAAATGAAGAAACAACAATTGGAAGAGGGCAAGGATGGAAGTTGGTTGTCTTTGGTTATACCTTGTTTTATATTTTGACTTTGGATCCATGTAGATATTTTACATATTAGCTTTTATAAAGAAAATTAAAGGGAAAAATAGCAACCCTAAATATCAAAACCAGTGATTTGATTCTATATCAGCTTATAGCATAACAACATAAATCATAATAACTTCAAATGATGTTAAAATACTTTAACTTAGGAGAGCTATATCTCAAGGCCAGAGAAATACAAAGAAATCTAAGCTGTCTTTACTACTCATTTGTTAATGGTAATATTTGTTTTATTTTAGGTGAGTCCAAAATTAAATACATAACTTCATGAGGAATTCAATTTTTGCAAGAGAAAACATACAAAAATGAAGCAAAATGCCATAATCTTTTATTTGAATTGAAAATATGTATTTCCTACCTCTGTCCACAGAAGGGGTTTAAAAGCGTTAATCATGATATAGAAGCAGTGAGCACCCCATGTATCCAAAATGTGGTCCCCAAATTCCATTTTCTATTAAAAGAAGTAAGGGCTTCTTGGAGAAATGGCGTATGACAGGTCAAGGGTAGTAGATGTGTATGTGATTATCCTGAAACATCTTATTGTGCCTAAAAGCAAGAAAGCTATCAAAGACTATAAGATTATGTCAACCTGGAGGAACTGACCAAAGAGGATAATTTGAGCATCAAAAAAATATTGAAATGCACTGAAACAGTGATTGTAGGTAAAACTTACTAAATTCAAAATGAAAAAAAAAGCAATGATAGAACCCTTTATGGAGCTTGCCAGAGTACTAGCTCATTCTGAAAATTTGATAAGGGATAGAAGCAAGCATTTATCGTGATTTTTCTTTACAAGCTATAATCAAATAGTTGGTGAGAGGAAATTTGTTATAAGAGAATTAGCTAATATATTCAGAAAGAATGACAGACTTAGAAAATTACATTTGGCAACCTTTAATAAAATTATGGAATTGGCAGTAATCCCTAGTAGACGGTGATTGGGAATTTGAAAAGGGAGTGAGCAGGTTGATAACACCTGAACTTGCTGGCCAATCTTAGCAAAGCTAAATTGGAACAATCTGGTATTCACATGCCTCCTAATGTGATGCCATAGGAAGTACAAAATACTGCCTACGATATTTTCCCCAACATATTGAACCTTCATCCAATTTAGCTTCCAGATTTAACTAGCAGTTTATAGGAAATAAGGTGAATTTAAAAACCTTTAGGTGGTATGGTAAAGATAGAATTGGCCAAATCAGGATATGGAAAATCTTACAGGACAAATAACCAAGTTTCTTCAATAAATAATGGCATGGCAGGGAGGGAGGAGAAAGGGAAACTGCTGTAGTTCAAAAGAGACTAGGAAACATATCAACCAAATTCAAAGTGTGAAATGTTTTAGGGTCCAGATTTGAACAAATAAGAAAAGTCATGAAAAATTGAACATGGTTTTGGTATTAGATATTAAATAATTTTGTTAATTTGGTTGAATGGGATAAAGAAAGTGCAGTTATTTCAAATGAAAATATTTGCCAGATATATTAGAGTGTTTGTGGTGAAATGATATGACTTGCATTTAGGCACCCCAGAAAAAATTAGGGGATGAAGGAAAGGTGAAAAATAATGGCAAAGTGTAATGAGTTGTTTATACTGTTTTCTCAGTGCATGTTTTAAGTTTTCTATAATTTAAAAAAATATTTTAAATAGCCATCGTCTCCCAAAAGGGAAATGCAAAATCACTACTGGTAGTCATTTCTCTTCTTAGTCACATTTCCACTCTAGTTTGCTCTGACCTACAGCATACATTTTATCCTTAATCTCCATCAAGAGACCTTATATAAATCAGGATCAAGAAAGACTGAGAGGGAGGAAGATTATGTACACAAACACATGCGTACATACATTAGGGAAGAAAGAATGTAGAGCAACTATAGTTCTCCTTTTTGCAAGTCTTGAGACTAATTGGTATTTAATACTTCCTTCAGATACTTATTTTATGTTCCCTTTGCCAACAGCATCTCTGTATTCCCTACCTCCCTTTTTTTGTCCAATATTTTTTTATGAAACTTTCAAACATACAGAAAAGCTGAAAGAATATTACAGTAAACCCCGTATGTCCACTACCTAGACTCTACCATTAACATTTGACTACACTTTCAGCTGGTAGTTCTAGTTGGGTTGACACAAAGCTTCATTCCTGAAGGGTCTGAGCTATTATTCATCCTGTCTCTTTGGAGTTGCTGTTGTAATCCATTAATTCTTACCAGTGGGGATGGAAACACTAAAGACACCTCAGAGGATTCCTCTGGGTTCCAAACATACTCCTTCCTGCCTGCATTTTGACAATCAGGATGATTTTCTGTGGATGTCACTTTGATACTTTTCCTTTGCCTGTTTGTCAGTGGCATAAAAAGCCACAAATGGCAAAATGGCAGATATGGTCGTTGGAGTCATTCTGTCCCCTCATGGAAGCTTTCTTCCCTTGGAACTAAGAATTTAAAAATAGCAAAGCCTAAACTTATAGGAATGGAAAGCAAAATATTAGTGGTTGGGTGTGAAAGCTTGCTACTGGGCCCAGTGCGATGTAATAACGGGAGGACACACTCCATTCTTTGTTTTCCAGACCTATCTATTCTGAGTTTGGGTTTTTTTATTTTTTATTTTTATGTTTTGAGAAACAGCAACGTACTAAACAGTACTCCAACCTAAACAAGGCGTTTTCTCCTCTGGCTCCATAAAGCCTACAATTTCTTATTCTACCATTCTACTGAGACAGACTACTTTTGGTCGATGGGATCCACGGTAAAACAAGTAAATCTCGTCGGTGTGTGGCCATTACCTTATTTTGCTTTAAAATTACTCACTTAGAAGCACCATTATATAGGATTATAATGACGGTGACTAAGACATTCAGTAAGTCCCTCAATGGTGGTTAGTAATGGCAAATCCTTAGTTAATTGTCTGTTTCTCCTCTACCCCCATATGGCCAACATACCCCCCTCCATTAAGAGAGTTCCATTGTAGTCAATGTATTAATCAGAAGGGTGACTGGTCTTTCCAGAGAAAGATAACATCAGGTTTCTATTTAGCTTTTGCCGGTTTGGCAGTCAGCAGTGGCAGTCTCCAGGTTAGCTTTGCTGAAAGAAAGATAATGTTGGTCCTAAGTATAACCTGCATCCCTGCCACTCATTAAAACTGAGTGGTAGAGGAGCTGAGAAAAAAGTTGGCATCCTGTCTACTTGTTTATTTACAGTCTTCTCCAAAATGGATGCGTTTTGGTGAGCATTCGCATAGGACACAAATAGCTTCATACTCTGTGCTTATGAAGAGATAAAATGTTGTAGGAGTCTATTTAAGGCTAGGCTAGTATAACATGCTCAGTTTTGTTTATCGTTAGTCAACCGATCATATTGCCCATGGGGTTTGTGGGAGAGGTAGCAATGGAATAGATGCCATGAGAGTCTGAGCCTATTACTTGTGAAACTATTTGTACCTTCAAGAATTGATGTGGGTTTCCACCACCCATCTACCAGATGTCTTGAAAGATCAAATAACACCCAGTTCATGATGAATAATTCAACATGTATGGTCATGTATTGTCCCATGGTCAGCCAGGCGGTCTCTCCTAGGGTCCAGAAGCAAGGCAGAAGCTGTTTAATAAGGTAAGAGTAAGCCTGTGGAAGAGGTCTTGTGTTTGCTTTAAAATTGTAGGGTTATTCTCTTGATTCTCCTATTAAGTAAAGAAAATTAAAGTTTAAAAATACCAATTTACAATAGCATTAAAAATAACTGATAAGAATAAATATATCAAAAGATGTCTAAGATCTCTATACAGGTCTAAACCTATAAAAGCATTTTGAGGGAAAATTAAAAACACTTGGATAAAGTGACCTGTATACCTCAGTAATATGTTGTAAGAATCAATACTGTAAAGTTACTAGTTCTCAAAATTGATCAGTGAACCAAGGAAACCTAATAAAAAAACCATAACAGGAATTTTTTGAAACTTAACTGCTGATTTTTAAATTTATATGGAAATGCAAAGGGTAATGAATAATCAAGACACTACTGAAAATTAACAATGTGGTAGAACATTCTATCATATATTAAGACATAAATGTATAGACAGTAATACAATATGGATACATAAGGATTAATAGACCAATGTAACCAAACAGGGATCTCAGAAATAGATCCACTAATCAAGAGACACTTGATTAGTTATAAAGGTGGCAATGCAGAGCTCTGGAGAATGAACACCTCTTCAATAAATTTTCTAGAACAATTGAGTATCCATATAAGAATGCAATTGAGCACCCATAAATAATATATGAAAATGATTTCCAGATGGGTTGATGACTTAAAACAAAAGGGAAAATAATAAAACTTTTAGAACACAACATATGAGAATATTTCATAACTTCAGGGTACAGTATATTTCCTAAACAAAACATTTTAAATTTAACCAAAAAGGAAAAGTGTGATGTATTTGCATTAATTTTATTAATTCTGTTAATCAACAGTCACTATTAAAGAGTAGACAGTCAACTGCTTACCTGTACAATTGAAATAACCAAAACATTGAACAAAATAGGTGAAACAATGGTTTTCAAGACGTTGACTATCTTCAAGTGTTTACTTTTAATGAAAGACAGTGATCCCTGAGATGAGAAATGAGATGAGCCCTATAATTGCCCAGCTTATGGCTGGGAGGGATACCCCAGGCAGAGCCCAGTGGTCTCCTAGTCTTGAGATGGGGTGAGGAGTCCAATGAGGCCAATGTGGTCAGAGTTTACAGGGCAGAACACCAAAGAAGAGAGAACTGCACAAAGATTTCCAGAGATCTGCAGACGATTTCTCGTAAGTTCAGCTAAACACTCATTAATACATTTATGTGAAGAAACTACCTGAAGCCAGGGAAAAATCACCACCTGAAAGAATTAGAGGGAACAATCCTCAGAGCTCAGAGAGGTCCAGGAATAATTCTTGCTCCCAGCAGCCAAAGTGGAAAACCTGAGATGTCACATAGTGTCAGGTAGAGTATTCAGAGGGTTTCACCTGAGTTGTGGGGAAAATTTCCCATGAACTAAGCACAACTCTGATCCCACCTAACAAACCTTAAAAGCACATCTCAAAAACATCCAACTTTTCAAATCACAGTATCCAAAACAAAGGTCAAGAATATTTATAGGAATACAAAAATATGCAGCACCTAATGGCAAAATGTATATCTGACATCCAACAAAACAGTATTAGACATCCAACATCTATTAACAAGAAGAACTCAGCTAAGAGGAAAAGAAGGGAATTTCCTTAACCAATAAAGAGTATCTGTGAAAAAGCTACACCTAACATCATACTTAATGATGAAAGACCTAAGATCAGGAGCAAGAGAAAGATGTCTTAACACTTTTACTAAGCCTTGTACTGGAGGCTCTAGCCAGGGCAATAAAGAAAAAGAAAAAAGGAATCCCTGTTGGAAAGGAAGGAAGGAAACTTTATTAACAAATGTGAATGTCTAGATTTTAAAAATCTGATGGCATTGATAAAAAAAAGCTACTAGGACTAATAAGTGAGTTTACTGAGGTTGCAGGGTAAAGATCAATATGCATAAATTGTTATTTTCTATGTTCTAGCAATGAACAATCTGAAACTTGAATTTAAAAAAAAAAAAGCCATTTACAACACCATAAGAAGCATGAAATACTTAGTGACAATCTAGAAAAAGAAGTGCAAGATAGGGGCCGGCCCAATGGCCCAGCAGTTAAGTTCACACATTCCACTTTGGCGGCCCAGGGTTTGCCAGTTTGGATCCCAGGTGTGGACCTATGCACCACTTGTCAAGCCATGCTGTGGCTGGCCTCTGACATATAAAGGAAGATGCGCATGGATGTTAGCTCAGGGCCAGTCTTCCTCAGCAAAAAGAGGAGGATTAGCAGCAGATGTTAGCTCAGGGCTAATCTTCCTTAAAAAAAAGTGCAAGATATATACCATGAAAAGCAAAATAGCACTGCTGAGAGAACTTAAAGAAGATTTAAATAAGTGAAGATATACACTGTATTCAGAGATTGGAACACTCAATACTGTAAAAATGTCAGCTCTGTACAAATTGACCTATAGATTCAATGAATCCCAATCAGAATATCAGGAAGCTTTTTTTTTTTTTTTTGTGGCAACTGATTCTGAAATACATGTGGACATGCAAAGGACCTAGAATAGGCAAAACAACTTTGAAAAAGAATAACAAAATTGAAGGACATGGACTACTTGAGTTTAAGACTAATTATAAAGCTAAAGTAATCAAGACTGTGTTGTCAAGATAGACGAATAGGTCAATGGAACAGAATAAAGTTCAGAAATAGACTCATACATATATGGACAACTGATTTGTGATAAAGGTGCAAGGGCAGTTTAATGGATTAAAGATAGTCTTTTCAAGAAATAGTGCTAGAAGAAATGAATATGCATACACAAAAAAAACTTTGATTTATACTTCACACTATACAAAAAATAACTAAAAATATATCACAGACCTAAATGTAAAACATAAAGCCATAAAAATTCCAGAACTTTGGGTTAGCCAAAAATTTCTTGGCTATTATATTGAAAGTGTGATCCTTAAAGAACAAATTGATAATCATTCATGAAAATTGAAAACTTCTTGTCTTCAACAGACTCTTAAGAAAATGAAAAGATTAGCTGCCAACTGGGAGAAATATTTTCCAATCATATATGATAAAGGGTTTAAATATAAAAAGAGTTTTTGAAACTTAATGATAAAACAAATACTTAAACTTAAAAATGAGTAAAAGATTTGAAGAGTTATATAACCAAAGAACATATACAGAAGTCAAATATACACACAAAAAGATATTCAACATCATTAGTCATTAGAGAAATGCAAATTAAAACACAATAATTAGTCTTCTGATATTCCCTAACATGCTTAATGGCATCAGAGAGGGTGTCAAGATGGCGGTATAGGAGGACTTGGGACTCACCTCCTCCCACAAACATAACCAAGTTACAACTATTTTTGGAACAACTACCTATGAGAGAGAACTGAAAACTGGATAAGGAGAACCCTCACAACAAGAGACAGTCCTGACTGAGGTAGAAGAGGCAGAAATTCCTGTCTGGAGACAAAGAAGCCACCTTCACAAGCCATGGAGCTTCACTGCTGGCTGGCTGGCCAGCAGCAATCCTGAGGTAAACAGCCTTCCCTGGAGGAGTGGGGGACAGCTAACAGGGGAGTGTTGTTGCTATAAGCATGCTTCAGACCCAGCATAACTGACACGAGTCTTACAATAGCTGGCTTTGCTGGCCATTAACTACAATGGGGAATACCCCTAGAAAAGCTATCAGACATAAGCAGAAAAAAGCCAGCTATTAAAGGGCCAATGCACAAATTCACCTATTTCAGAAATCAACCTAAAATCACCAGAAAAAAAGTGCAAAAGTGCACAGTCCTTTGGTAAGACTCACTTGATAGACTCTGGGTGTATCTCAGTGAGAGGTGAAACCTCTCCAGGGACTGAGACATTGGCAGCAGCCATTACTGTGACCTAGTTCAGGCATGCTGACACAAATGCTGGCAGATGCCATTGGAGTTCTTCCCCCTGCCCTGTTAGCCAGCGGTCTGCACTGCCCACTAGAGAACTGATTTAATCCAGCTCAAGCAGAGCAGGAGCCTACCGTACCGACTTGCCCCACCCAACAGCAAGCCCTTGGACAACTTTTCAGCCTTCATAGACTGGGTACCTAGGTCCTCAGCAAGCAGATGAGTGAGTCCACCTGTGTGGGGCAGGGCATGCATGAGCAGCAGGTGGAGAGTGTGCGGGCCTCTCCAGTGGGGCAACTGTATCCACTCCAGGGGGTTTGGAAGTGTGCATGGGCCAGGACTGTGTTGACAGTGGGTGTGGACCTGTGGGCCATGGGGCATATCAGTGGCAGAAGACCTATCCTTCTCAAACAGCCACAGAGGGGATCAGACTCACCTTCCAAAGCCTGAAACACTCAGCTGCAATCCTGAGACAGCTGACAACAGCCTTGCAGGCCAGAGGCCTTCAGCAATTGTAAGCCCCTGAGCCTTGCAACTAGCCATGCTTGGGGCCTACTCACTTAACAGAAAAACTGCAACAGGAATGTGCTATTAGACCTTGCAGCCAACTGTGCTGGGGCTCCCCAAACCCGAAAAACTGACTGAAGGGTCCATAGCAGCCACATGCAGCTGAGCACTACAACCAGCCAGTCAGTAGGACAGCCTAGACTCCCTGGGCACCTGCAGCAAGAGCAACCCTGCCTCAACAGAAGGGCACACATAGCCTACACAAGGGTCACTTCTGGGACATTTGGAAATGGTGATGAGAGGGAAGCACACTGCTAGGCCTTAAAAGGTGTCTCCTACATAAGACCACTTCTCCAAGATCAGGAGACATAGCTGACCCACCTAATACATAGATATAAACACAGAGAAAGAGGCAAAATGAGGAAGCAAAGGAATATGTTCCTAGCAAGGGAACATGACAAAACCCCAGAAAAAGAATTAAGTGAAACAGAAATAAACAATCTACCTGACAAAGAGTTCAAGCAAAAAGTCATAAGGATGCTCACCAATCTTGGGAGAAGAACAGATGAACTCAGTGAAAACTTCAGCAAAGAACTGGAAAATATAAAAAAAGAACCAATCAGAAATGAAGAATACAATACTGGAAATGAAAATTTCACTAGAGAGACTCAGTGGCAGACTAGATGATACAGAAGAATGGATCAGTGAGCTGCATGAAAGACAAAGGAAGTCACCCAAGCGAACAGATAAAAGAAAAAAGAATTAGAAAGAACGAGGATAGTCTAAGGGAACTCTGGGACAACATCAAGTGCACTAACATTCGCATTGCAGGTATCCCAGAAGAGGAGAGAGACAATGGGGCAGAGAATCTATTTGAAGAAATAATAGCTGAAAACTTTCCTAACCTAAGGAAGGAAACAGACATCCAAGTACAGGAAACACAGAGAGCACCAAATGAGATAGACCCAAAGAGGCCCACACCAAGACACATTATAATTAAAATGTCCAAAGTTAAAGATAAAGAGAGAATCCTAAAAGCTGCAGAAGAAGGGAAACAATTTCCATGTCCCTTCTCCTTTCTGCCTCTCCCTTCTCAAAATATTGCATAAAAGGCTGTATCTTTGACAAAGCCTTTAAATAAAAATATTGTGAAACAACAACAAAAAAACTAAAAAACTAAAAAGTAAATTTTATTTTAAAGCTGAATAGTTTGTGTGGTTATACATGACATTTGGGTGAATTTGTATAACTATCAGCTGCCTGAAGTACACGGACTGATAGATAATACTTGTATCATATGTAAAAGAATGTATATCCTTCATATATAAAGGAATCTTACAGGTTAGTAAGGAAAAAAAGGCAAATTTAATTGTATGGAAAAATTTAAAGCTACAGAATATGATTGGGGAGATTCTCCAAATTGATAACAGAAAAATAATCTTATAGAAAAATGGGTAAGGACATAAATAGAAAGTCACAGGAAAAGAAATGAACATATAAGATTTTAAAATAATGTTCAATTTCACTCAAGGTTAGTAAAATGGAAGTTAAAATAACCATGATATTTTGTATGTATCTCAAAATTTTTTTTGAGGAAGATTAGCCCTTAGCTAACATTTGCTGCCAATCCTCCTCTTTTTGCCAAGGAAGACTGGCCCTGAGCTAGCATTCATGCCCATCTTCCTCTACTTTACATGTGGGACGCCTACCACAGCATGGCTTGCCAAGTGGTGCCATGTCTGCACCCGGGATCCAAACCAGCGAACCCTGGGCCTCTGAAGCAGAATGTGTGCACTTTACCACTGCGTCACTGGGCTGGCCCCTCAAATTATTTTTTAATATGCAAGTTCTCAGGACATCTTTTTTCCATGAATTGTTAAGACAATTTTAAGTTTCTAGCCTAGAATACAGTTTATCCTGGAGAAAATTTCATATACACTTGACAAAAATGTGTATTTTGCTGTTATTGGTTGGAGTTTTCTATATCTGCTAGGTGTGGTTGGTATTGTTTAAATCCTTTATTTCCTTGAAGATCTTCTGTCTAGTGGTTCTATCCATTATTGAAAGTGGACTATTGATATCTCCAAGTATTATTGTTGAACTATTTATTTCTCTCTTCAATTCCATCAGCTTTTGCTTCATATATTTTGATATTTTATCTTCAAGGTTCATCCATGTTGTAGCAGGTGTCAGAATTTCCTTCCTTTTTAAGTCTGAATAATATTCCATTGTATGTATATACCATATTTGGTTTATTCATTTATCTGGTGATGGACACTTGGGTTGCTGGTATTAGGTGCATATACACTTATAATTATGTATTCTTGATGGATTGACCCTTTTTGAATATAAAATGTACCTCTTTGTCTCTGCTAATTTTGCCTTAAGGTCCCTTTTATCTGATAACAGTATAGCCACTCCAGTTCTGTCATGGTTGCTGTTTGCATGGTATATCT